TCACGTGGAAACTGAACGAGGTCCCCTGTGAGAGCTCTTAGCCGTGGAGCCGTCTCTCCAGCCTTCTGTGTGCCTTTTATGAAGATGCTTGTCATTTGATGGAGGATCCATCTACATAATTCAGGATGATCTCATTACAAGATATTTACTTCTGCCCTTTATCTAATACGGTCACATTTACAGATTCCAGAGATTGGAATTAAGTGCTGAGCAGATCCTTTAGAGGGCCACGATTCATGCTACTACACTCTCACAACAATCTTCTAAATCCGGTTATTGTCTCTCTTTATTTTTTTTTAAAAGATGTATTTATTTATTATGTATTCAGTGTTCTGCCTGCATGTGTCCCTGCAGGGCAGAAGAGGGCACCAGATCTCATTACAAATGGTTGTAAGCACATGTGGTTGCTGGGAATTGAACTCAGCACCTTTGGAAAAGCAGGCAAAGCTCTTAACCACTGAGCCATCCCTCCAGCCCCTATCTTTATTTCTTAAATTTTTATTGTTTTTATCTTCTGTATATGGTTGTTTTGCTTACTCGTATGTCTGTGCACCACATGTGTACCTGGGTCCGCAGAGGCCACAAGAGGGAATCAGGTCCTCTGGAACTGGAGCTACAGGCGGTTGTTTGCTACCCCGTGGGAGCTGGGATCCAAATGCAGGTCCTCAGGGTGAGCACCAAGTGCTCTTAACTACTGAACCATCTCCCCTTTGTCCATCTCCGACTCTGGCTCTCTTAGGGGCAAATCTGTCTCTTGCTATCTAAGTAAAACAGGGAAATCAGAGACTGGAAAGATGGCTAAGCTGCTCAGAATCTTGCTATGCAAAAATGAGGCCCCAAATTCAGGTCTCAGAAGGCAGAGACAGGTGGATCCTGGGAAACAGGAAGTTTCCAGTTCCATGAGAAAACCTGTCTCAAGACAATAAGGCAGAGTATGGTGGTTTGAATGAGAAATGAGCCCCATGGTCTCGGGCATTTTGACATTTGATCTGCAGTTGGCAGTTCTGTAGGGGAAGCTGAGGTGGTGCAGCCTTGCTGGAGGAAGCACATCCTTGGGGGCAGATTCTGACAGTTAAAATCCTCCTGCTACTCCCAGTTCACTCTCTTTGTTTTGTATTTGTGGTTCAAGGTGTGAGGTCCCAGTTTTCCTGCAGCCCTGTCTGCTTCCTGCTGCCATCCTCTCCCTGCCATTAGAGACTCTAAGTTTCTGGAGCCAAAAGCAAACTAAACTCTTCTAGAAGTTACTGTGTCATGATGCTTCATCACGGCAAGAGAAAAGTAGCAAAGACTGGGGAGGCACCTGACATCTTCCCTGGACCCTATACATGCACGCACAGGCATGCCACCTGAACCCTCATACGTGTGCACACATGCACACACACACTCACACACACACTCACTCACACACACACACACACACGGTGCTCCCATCATACATACAAATGCCACAGTAAAGTTTATTAACTGTAGCTTCGTATAGGCCCTAGGAACATCATAGCTCAGGAAATTCAACAGATTGAACAAGGATTAGTAATCAACCTGGAGCAAGGTAATGATGTAAAATAGAAAGACAATGCCACCAATCTCAGGACTTCTAGACACAGCTGAAAATAACTTTGAAGGAGGAAGGGGTATTCTTGCTGGCCTTTGTGCGTGTTGTAATTTAAAACTGAAAGTGCTTTTTTAAAGTTGGGCATAGTGACATGAGCCTGTAATCCTTGTTCTCAGGAGGCAGAGGCAGGAGGATCGCAGGGTTTCAGCAAGCCTGATATACATAGCCTGCTCTAGGCCACCTGTCTCAAAAAACCGAAAGCAAAACCAAGGGTCCAGCCTTGTGGTATGTAGGCCCATATTGCTACATGATATGGCAGCCCGGCTCTCAAGCCATAGTTAGTACTGAGATGGTCACGGGCCTTCCAGATAGGCCGTCGCTACCCTAACCAAGGGTCAGGATGTTGTTCTGCTCTTTCTCTGTAATTTGGAGGATGCCTGAATAGAGATGCTAATTCAAGCCTACATGATAGAGCTGGCATACAGACCAGGAAGCCGTGACAGAGCCGGCATAGGTAGATGTGGGCATTCCTAAAGTCATTCACCTGGTTACCTAGGAAACAGAATGCTAATGCATTTCCCCTCAGTTTATGTTTTGGTATAAAGGCTGTTTGGAGGATAAACGAGAAGAATTTTAAGGATGTGAACTCAGGATATCATGAGATATCTGAGAATCTCCCTCCCGATAAAGTCATGTGAGTTGTGTCTTTATTCCCGCGCCCCTACGCCGGTCCAGAGAGATAGTTTATGTTGGGGCTGATTAGACCCTGACAGTGGTGCACACCCATAGCCCCGGCACAGGACAGGCCTCAAGACTGGATCTCAGAAAACCAATAATTGAGTTACAGCTCAGGCGTGGAGTGCTTTGCTTAGTGTGTGAGAGTCTGGGAGTCTAATCCCCAGCAATGAGTAAATAAACACTTTTCTAATTAAGAAAGATGCTGGCTGAAAGCCTACGTCTGTTTCTCTCCCACTTTAGTGCACTTTAGAAGTTTCTAGGGGAGGAAACAGATATCTCAGTGGTTAAAAGCTCTTGTTGCTCTTGCAAAGGACCTGGGTTTGTTTCCCACTGCCACATGGTGGCTCAAAAAACCACCCGTGACTCCCATTCCAGGCGATCGTATGTCTTTTTCCGATGTCCACAGGCACCAGGCACGTACGTGATACACATACACACACACAAGCAAAAACACTTATACATATAAAATAGATCTAATAAAAATATCTTTAAAAAGAAATATCTAATGGGGAATTTCCTTAAAACCCAAACCACATGCCACACAACTAAAATAGAGTCTCTAGGGATGGAGGCCAGGCATACTTTTTAAAGTTGCTGGACTAATTCCAACACACAGGCAATGTGAGAACCACTGAACTAAGCTTCCTAATAACCAAGCGGCTTCAGGACAGCGCAGAATACGGCTGGGATCGTGTGGCCTGTGTGCCCTCTTCTCTCTCACACTATTGATGATTCTCCTGGCCCTCTTGGTGTCATTTTGTCAGTCACGCATGGGACAGATGTGATCTTTCCTGGAAACCCTATTTTTTCTTGAATATTTTCCCCTAATATTCTTTGGGAGCTGATGCTTCTCAGACTTCTTGTCTGGGGATGCCAACTGTCAATGGAGGCAGATCACCCCGATTTCTGTAAAGATGTTTTGAACAGGATTATTGTTCTTGAAGATGTGTGCCTATGTCAATCAACTTTTAGTTTTGTAAAGACAGGACGTACCTGGCTCGACATTTGACCAAACTAACAAAATAAGTGTTGTTTTTGGTTTAAAGATGTGTTAATGTAAAAGTTGAGGGAAAACATACTTGAAATACTTGGTTTTGCTGGAGGTTAACATTGGAGGATGGGAAAATCTTGTTTGTTAGTGTGGAAAAACATGATTGTTTCTGATGTGTAAATAAAGGCGACTGGAGCTCTTGGGGGCCAGCCACTGTGTGAAACTCATCTGGTGGTTGGCCAATGCATTTCTTCATGCCCACACCCCTTCCCCATCTCCAGACCTGAACCCAGGCTGTGGCTGAACCATGGCAACCTATGCCACAATAATCAAAATAGATCATATGCTAGATTTAATATTTTAGATTTTTTAGTTCGGGAGATTGTCCTGTGTTCTTATTGGACAAGTCCTCCACCATTGGCTACAGCCCCAGTTGTGGTGGTGTGAATGAGAATGTCTTCCATAGGCTCAGCTGTTTGAATTCTTGCTCACCAGTTGTTGGCATGGTATGGATAGATTAAGGAGGCGTGGCCTTCCTGGATTCCTCCAGGAAGTGTGTCACTGGGAGGTTTTACACACCATGCACCATTCCCAGTTCACTCTGTTTTTTGTTCGCGGCTCCAGGCGTGAGCTCAGCTGTCCCTCTCACTGCACATGCTACCTCCGACCACAGTTCCGTGTCCCGATGGACTCTTATCCCTCTGGACTCGTAAGCCCTGCAAAAACGCTGCTCTATGACTTGCGTTGGTCACCGTGGTTTTAGCATAGGAGCGGGAAAGCAACTAATAAGCCAAAAAATACGTTTTCCTCTTTTATCCCCGAAAGGATTAAAGTGAGCTAGATGCTGTAGCCCATGTTTGTAATCTAAATTCAGGAACCAGACTTCTTGCGGCCTTAAATTCTTATGCACCTTGCTGTTTCTTCAAAGGGCTGAGCTCTTATAACCTCGGAAGTGATCCAGCCCAGCTCTTTGGCAGCTCCAGGATCAGACCCGCCTACCATTTGCTTGGACAAGTATTTTGTTTCTGATTTCGGATTTTGATCCAGGGTCTCATTATTGAGCCAGAAGTTGCCTTGAGTATGTGATCCTCCTGCCTTAACCCCATAAGCTCTGGGATTGCAAGTATATGCCATCATGCTAGGCTAGAAAATGGCTTAAATTTTTTTTGTATTTGTTTGTTTGTTTGTTTGTGTGAAGGCCAAATGACAACTCTATTCTTGTGTGTGGGTGCCAAGGATGAAACTTTGAGGCAAGTTCCTTTCACTGGTGGGCCATCTGGCCAGCCCGTTTGTGTCTGTGTGAGAGTATGTACACAAGGGTGTAGTTGCCTGTGGAGGCCAGAAGAGGGCACTGAACCTCCCTGGAGCTGGGGTTATAAGCAGTTAAGTTGTAAACCTCTGCACCTGGATGTTCTTATCTACGGAGCCATCTTTTCAACCCCGTTTTGTTTCTTTTAACTCTCTCCCTCTCTCCCTCTCTCTCTCTCTCTCTCTCTCTCTCTCTGTGTGTGTGTGTGTGTGTGTGTGTGTGTTTGACACAGGGTTTCTCTGTATAGCTCTGGTTGCTCTGGAACTCCCTCTGTAGTCCAGGTTGACCTTGAACTCAAGAGGTCCACCTGTCTTTGCCTCCCTGCTCGGATTAAAGTTGTGGACCACCAGGCAAGGTCTGCTGTATTAAAAATACCATTACAATCCCCTGAAGGAAGTTACAGACACGAGGCCAGATCAGAGTCCTTTATTTAATCTGTGGCTGTTGTGAGTCCTGCCACAAAGAACTCTTGGCCTCTAAATTGAGCACTACAGGATTTATAAAGACAAAAACACAATTACATCACACCAGGGGCAGGCTAGAGGAGTTTTTACATCAGGGTTATTTCCCAACAAGTAAGAAGGAACCCTTTGATCTGTTAAACATTTGATAAGCTTCCTTTCCCAGAAGACGGGAGAAAGCCTACTTTATCCCAGCCAGCAGGATCAGGCTCCAGAGGGGGACAGTCTGACCTCTCCCGAGCTGTTTCAGTGGGGTCTTCTGCAGCCTCCTAAGTACTGGAGCTACAGGCCAGCTTTAGAACATGGCTCTTGATGGTAACTGGTTTCACGAGTTCCACCACAGCCACTAACAAACAGTCCCCACTCCTAAGGGATCACCACCAAGTGAAGGTGAATATCCAGAAGCATGAATAGGGGTCCCTGCTCAGATGGTACCTCTGAGGGGACACCGTATACCCCTTGGCTCTAATGTCCTTCTCCAGGCAGTACACAAAGTCCTCCGTCCCAGGACCTGCCTTCCAGGGCCCAAATTTGACGACGGGTGTCTTTTTGGCCTCTAGGATATGCAGCGGCTCCACGCACTTGGCCTCCTCCTCTTCCGTGTGCACCACACACACCACCACCTTCGACGAGCGCATTGCTACAGCCTCTGCCCGAGCCAGGTGCAACAGGACCTCCAGGTTCTCCCTGTAGTTTGGCACTCCCAGCAAGAACTGCATGCGAGCCACCTGCTCACCGAAGATCTGGGGCATGTCTTCCAAAACCTTGACCAAGAGATGGATTTGGTAGAACTTAGCCTCGTGGTAAACCTCAGGAATGTTCTCTGTGGGCACTTGCCCAGTGCGTAGGTAGTCCAGGATAGGCCCGAAGTAGGTGCCAGGACGATCAATGAAGAAGCGGCCGTGGGCATCCTTGTAGGATTTTGCTGATCGGGATAATATCTCGGAAAACTTTGAGCCCGGATGTTTCATCAGGGTGCCCATGGTGGTGGTGTAGAACTGTCCGCCTACATTCAGCTCCACAACCTGCAGACACAGACGGCAGCGTGAACCAACAGTGCACATCGAGGAGACACACAACACAACAACAACCTAGCAGGGGAGGTGCTGTCTGCAGTGATAAAAGTGAAGGCTGCATTTCCAGCCTGAAGGTTCACGTACAGGTCAGGGTGGGGGCCAGTGAAGGGGACGGTCCTTCATTTTGATGTAGGCATGACCTCATTCTCAACCTGTGTGTTGCACAGCCTCTTAGGATTTAAGTACTGTCCTGGAATTAGGAGACCCGCAAACAAGCTAGCTGCTGGGCGGGGCGGGGGGGGGAGGAGCACTGAGTTGCCATGGCAACAAGTCCTACAGGGGCTATTTCAGCTGTGGGGGGGTGGCAGGAGAAGAAGGACCCAGGCCATACAGTTGAGGAAAGAAAGCTCAGAACTTCTGCCTCCCCTAGACTTCAAGGCCCCTTGGCAAGGCTGTTTGGTTAACCTGGAGATCGCCTTGATGACGATGAAGCGGGCAGTTATCGAGGAGCTACAGACTAAACCCTGAATAAATCAGTCCGCTGGCATTCCTATTCTGCACGCGCTCCGCTTCTAGGTCCTCTCATGCCCTCATTTTACAGATGAAGAAAACCCAGAGGGAAAATTCACAGACCAGGGAAGCGATGAAGTGCAGCTAGGATCAAGTGCCCATCAGACAGTCCAAGTCACGTCAGGGCGGGTGTTTCAGCCCACACCAAGGCCTGCCTCACCGCAGCCCGTGTTAGCTCCCTGCCTGGAGAAGGAAGCTCACTTCTTACCTTAAGCCTCCATTTCTGTGAAAACGGAAGCAAGATGGACACAGAGAACTCAAATCTCTCCAACTCTCAAAGTCTAATCCACCCAGCCGCTCCAAAAGTCCTTTCCAGCCGGGCAGTGGTGGTGCGCACCTTTAATCCTAGCACTTGGGAGGCAGAGGCAGACGGATCTCTGAGTTCAAGTTCAGCCTGGTCCACAGAGTGAATTCCAGGACAGCCAGGACTACACAGTAAATCCTGTTTCAAAAAACTAAGGCAATAACCAAAAAGAGTCCTTTCTGAAGCTAATCTACAGAAACCATTTTCCTAGCTAGCTGTGGTGGCCCGGATGGCATTCAGCACTCCGGAGGCTCATGAGTGTTTGTGCCGTGGCTATACAATAAGACCCCATTTCAAACAAAGCAAAACAAAACCGAAGTTACCACCCTATGTGCCACTGTTTAGTTTATCTAAAAAGACCTCAGCCCTGTCCACAAGCTTCTTTATTCTGTTCCTTTTTAAAAAATATTTTTTTCTCCACAAAGTTCCCAGCCTCTGTGTAAATCTTAGCTTCCTATCTCATCCATACACACTACCCAGTTGTGTTCCTAGAACGATGAACTTCTTTTTACCCTCTGGAGGAAGGCCCTCTTCCATCTTTACTACCAATACCCTGGCCAGTTCCTGGGTGGGTGGGAAAGCCTGTGGTGGGTGACTGGCAGAGACTTTGCCTCTAGGGGGACCTGCTGGATGTGGAGTCTGTGATAGCCATGGAAATGCAGGGAGGGACCTGGCTTATCTCTCACCCAGTTCGGTCAAAAGGGTCCCTATACCTTCCTGGGCTCTACCCAGCATTCATACATTATCTGAGATCCCTCCCCCAGCTGCATGAATGAGTGGCATCTCTACTCAGATGGTCTCAGACCCCCAACATTGACCCCTCCTGCTGTTTCTCACATTAGCTGATCCAGAAGTCGAGCATAATGTGGTTTTTCCTTGATCTTAGTCTCCCCTACACACTTACTCACCACCAAGTCCTGGCAGTCCTGTTGGTTTGCTAAGTTCTGTGGCCCTTACTAGGGCCTACCCCTGGATCCAGTCCGCACACTGAAACCAGAGTTCTTTTTCTCTGAAGCAAACCTGAGTCTCCTGCACTGCACACTTGAATAGTTCAAGGTTTCCCAGGCTCTTTGCAACAAGCCTATTGCTTGGCTTCTAGCAAACAAAGAACAAAATCACCTACTGCAACCCTCCCTCTATCCATGGCGGATTAGGGTCCCAAGCCTTCAGGACTTCAGTCTCTTACAGCTTGCTTCCTATCACTGAGTCTACCCATCCTTCTTTTTCTTTCTCTTTTCAACTCTTTATTATTATTATTATTATTATTTTTGAGACGCATTTCTGTGTAGTCCTGGCTATTCTAGAACTCACTCTGTAGACCAGGCTGACCTTGAACTCAGAGATCCACACCTCTGCCTGGAATTAAAGGTTCCCCAGGGGCCTTGCAGAAGGGTGGTCTTATGACCCCAGAGTGACAAGTCATTCTAAGGTTACAGTAGCTGCTCCCTTTGGGATCCCCTGTTTGCTCATTCTCAATTAGATTGGGAGGTTTGAAAGGGGAACGCTATTCCTCTCTGCCATACGAGTCACCAGCACCCACTAGCAGGGCTCAGCACACCAGAGACACTCAATGAATACCTGTTAGAGTAAAGGAAGTTCACCCTTGGCCCCGATCCGCATCAGGACCTGGTATTCTGATAAGCGCAGATCTTGCCCTACCTGGCATCAAGCTCAGTGCTGGCTCCCTGCATGACCTTCACCCAGGAGCTCATTCAAGCCCTTCTTGAGCAGGGAGGATGGGACACCCTGAGTGCTGAACCCCTTGACACCAGGCGGGTAGCTTGGGAAACAGCCGACAATGACATGCTCATCACACTATTGGAAAGAGCCACTTTCCCTGCTTCTGGGTCTGCTCTCTCCCCTGACTCAGTCCTGATGAGAATAAAAATTTTATTCTCTCAGCGTGTACCCAGACTTACTGTTAGCTGCTAAGTGAGGCAGGCACCTTTAGGGGCTAACTTCTGCACTAAATGGGGGGTGGGTGGCATACCACCTACTTAACACACCCTCAAAGCTGTCCTTTCTTTAATTTCAACTAAAACTCTGGAGAAATTCATTGAGTTTTTCGAGGCAGGGTTTCCTCTGTGATCTCTGGCTGTCCTGGAACTTACTCTAGAAACCAGGCTACCACAGAGATCCGCCTGCCTCTGCCCCTGAGTGCTGGGATAAAAGGCCTGTGCCACCACCACCTGGCTTGTTTTTTGTTTTTAAAGACAGTCTCCAGAAGCCCAAGCAGGATTGTGGGCATGTGCTGTGGAATTCAGTTAAAGAATGATTCTTATTATTTCTTGTTCCTGTTTTGTTGGCAGTGCTGGGGACTGAGTCCTGGTCTTCCCACTGAGCCACATCCTGGGCCTTTGAGTCCGTGATCTATGAACTAAAACTGAGCGTGTGCTTTCCTTTGTGGACATGTATAGACTTCTTCAATAAAATGCCCACCCTTCCTTCTTGGGGTCTAGCACTACTGTGAGGATAGCCCCAGTGTTATCCTCATTAAATTCAGTTACTCTTTCTCCCTTCTTTTTCTCCTGGCTTTGCACACAGCAAACCCCCTTGTGCTCCCAAAGGCCTCTCACCCAGTCCATGAGAGAAGGCAAGTAAGCAGGGTACTCTTTGGGGGCAGAGGGACAGTGCTGGAGCTGGCCAGGCTACCCCTATCAGGCGGCAGAGTAAAGGACTAACTGAAGTACCCACCCCCGGACTATGCCAAGCCAGAGGTTTTCAGAGGGGACACACACAGGAACTAACGCAGACTAAGTGAAGTGAGCCAGGGAGGAAAAGAGCAAGTGAGAGACTGCAAAGTGCTTGGTGGAGGGGGGGGGCGGGACACAGGTATCAAAGGAGTTTACTGACAGGCGCAAAAAAATGATCCCCGGGGGTGGGGATAGAGGGACTACTGGAGGGTGGGCAAACGAAAACGGAACGGAGCTAGGAAAGCGGCTGGCGGGGGTTGGAGGTGGGGCGTTCAGGACAAAGGGAGCAGCCGCTGCGCAGGGGTGCACTTACGACGTCCGGGTCAAAGCCCACGATCCTGGACTCCTGGCTGTGTTCCTTGAGTTGGTTGGCGGGCAGAGACTCCTGGCTGGGCTCCTTGAGTTGGTTTGCCGGCAGGCTCATCCTGGTGGAAAGGACAGCTCGCACTGACCACACAGCACCGCCTTGGGTTGATAACTTATGGGCGGGAAACACAGTCCTGCCACGTGTCGAAAACTTCCCAGCTGGAGAGGCTCGTGACTCCCCGCCCCTGAGAAACTCTGTGCCTCCCCGTTGCCTCTTTTGTAAAACATCTGTAGTTTGTTTAGCTGGCTTAAAAGGGCTCTGAGGTGTTGAGCACCGACCCCATTGGGTCTTTGAACTGTCATCAACTTCAAGTAATCTATAATCTTTCAGGGAAGCGGTACTAGGAGACAATCCTGGGGCGCTCAGAGGGTAGATGTCAGATCAGCGACTATAAAACGGTAAGTGAGTAAGAAGAAGAAGCTGCCACTCAAGGCAAGCGCTGTGAATCTTACCTGTCTCATGCCTTAGTTCTGAGTGAGTAAAGTCTTCTCTAAAACATATTTACACTACGGGAGCGCAGTATTTACACTTATTGGAGCCCAGTATGGTCATCAACAGCAACAACAGCCAGACACTTAATTCAAATGAAACTGAATAGACGCTGCAATCACACATTTGGCAATGGAAATAAAACCCAAGAGACTGGGGCGTGGTTCAGTGGTAACACACTTGCTTAGCATGTATGAAGTCTGGTTTGACCCCCCAGCAAAACACACACCCCACAAAGAAGAGAGCTAGGAAAGTGGGAAGGAAGGAGAAATCGACACTTGCTGTGTGTTGTCGTGGACGATTATACTTTCAAATCAAGTTTCAAAGAATGTACACAGATAGCAAGGGGTCCTCAAAGAAGCTCACAGTTCAAAACCACAAACAACCACTAAAGGAAACAAAGTGTCCGTCATAGAAAAAGTCAATGGAGACAAGCCAAGCCCCTCAGACACTGAGACTGCTGGGCGTACAGTGTGAGCGGATTTAATGTCATGAGATAAATGAAAGAGCGCATCTAAAACACGGGCTGCAGGTGTGGGTAAGTGATAGCGCATTGCCTAGTGTGCACAGGGCCCCGTTCTAGCCACACATCTACAAAATCAAAACCATACCTAAACCCAACCGTGAGGAAAGAATAAGAAAATACAATTTTTTAAAAGACCGGGGAGATTTTTTTTGAGACCGATAGAACCTCTAAAAATGCAAAACTAAAGTGGCCGAAATAAACCCTTACTGCTGTGTACATTTTTTTTTTTTTTACTTTTTCTTTTTTTCTTCTAGTGTCTAGGGTTCAAGATACTTTGTAGCATCAAGAGTTGGCTGGGAACAGGAACCTTTGCAAAAGTACAAACTATGAAATGTTCCTAGCAGCTGTGACCAACACCCAACCTCATGGTCTAGACAGAAGCAGGAGTAACTGCTGGGGGGGGCGGGCAGGGGGCATGCACAGAAACAGAAATAGCCCCCACCCTGCATCTAGCAAACTGACCCTAAATGAACCTAGTTTGCGTTTTTTGCCTATATAACGTCAACCCCAGATGATGGTCTCCTCCCTACTGCGCTGCGTCCTGTGTAGTGGTCAAGTCTCCAGCCTGGCTGGAGACTGCGCTGAATAGACCCTGCTTTTGCTTTCCGGACTTGACTAGATTCGGGTGGTGGTCTCTCGGGGGTGGGGGTGGGGTCTCAACTTGGGCACAACATCTAAAACAAAACAAAGCAAAAAACCCACTTTTGGTTCTCCAACCAACAGAAATTAAAAAAAAAAGCACCGTTTTGTATGAATATATTTACCATTGATCTCTTTGTGTAAGCCAAATTAGATACAGTTAACAGCTGACTAAACCTCAGTCTGTCTGCCCTGCAATGCTGTGTCTGTTGAGAAAGATAGGGAGGGGCTGGGGAGGTGGCTCAGCAGTTAAGAGCGCTCTTGTTGTTTTTTCAGAGAACTAGTTTGGGTCCCAGCACCCACATCAGGACACTCACAACTACCTGTTAACTTCGTTCCAGGGAATCTGATGCCCTCTTCTAGCACACATGCACACACACACACACACACACACACACACACACACACACACGTACCTGTGATTTCAGCACTCGAGAGGTCAGAAACTCAATGTCCTGCTTATCCTTGGCTGCTTAGTCAATTTTAGGTCAGTTTGGGGCACATGAGACCTGTCTCAAAACAAACAAACAAAGAAAGAAGAAAGACAAGAACAAAGCAGGCCTGGAGAGATGTCTCGGTTGATGAGAGTGTTTGCAAGCATGAGGCTCAGAGTTCTACCCCCAGAAGCCATTAAAAATACTCAGTATGACTTGGCAGGGTGGCGCACGCTTTTAATCCCAGCACCAAGAAGGCAGAGGCTGGGATCTCTACAAGATTGAGACCAGCCTGTACTCATAATGAGTTCCAGGCCAGGCAAGGCTGTATAATGAGACCCTGTCTCAAAAGTAAAAACAGAAACAAAAAAACAAGACAGAACAAAACAGTAAAGCCCAAAAGTTAACAACTTGGTATGGTGGTACAAGTTTGTAATCCCAGAGCTGGGAAAACAGACAAAGGAGGCTCTCTGAGGCTCACTGGCCTGTAATCTGGCCTGATTTGATGGCCGCCAACAAAGAGACCCTGTGTAAAGGTAGACAGTGTTCCTGAAGGTGACACCTGTGGATGTCCTCTGACCTTCACACGTAGGCATATACATGCACGTGTGCATATACATGCAACTCCACACACATGCACACACACATAATTAAAAACAATAAAATGGCTGGGCAGTGGTGGCACACACCTTTAATCCCAGCACTCAGGAGGCAGAGACAGGCAAATCTCTATGAGTTTGAGTCCAGCCTGGTCTACAGAGCTAGTTCCAGGACAACCAGGGCCACACAGAGAAACCCTGTCTCAAAAATCAAACTAAAAAGATTTTAAAAAATGATAAATAAATGAAAAATAAAATAGTAAGTATTGCAGCAGTGATATAGTGGGGATCCGCTGGTGAAAACATAGCAAACCATCTCTAAGTTTATATCTGCGTGTATTGGCATATTGTATGAAACACAGAAGGCTCGTTAGATTTTTGTCATGGGAAGAGGGAACTTAATTGAGAAAATGCCTCTATCAGAACGACCTGAAGGCAAGTCTGTGGGGGATTTTCTGTATTGATGGTAGACGCGGAAGAACCCAGCCCACGATGGGTGATTCCATCCCTGGGCAGGTGGTCCTGGGGTATATAAGAAAGCAAATTGGGCAAGTCCGGCAGAGCAAGCCTGTTAAATTAAGTTAACGTAAGCAGTGTTCCTCCACGGCTTCTGTTTTAGTTCCGTCTCCAGTTTTCTGCCTTGAGTCTCTGTGGTGGTGGCTTCCTTCACTGAACCATGACTTGGGATGGATAAGCCAAATCAAACCTTTCTTCCCCAAGCTGCTTTTTTTTTTAATAATTTACTTTAACTTTATTTTATATGCATTGGTGTAAGGGTGTCAGCTCCCAGGGAGCTAAAGCTACAGGCAGTTGTGAGCTGCCATGTGGGTGCTGGGAATTGAACCTTGGGTCCTTTGGAAGCTCAGCCAGTGCTCTTAACCATTGAGCCATCTCTTCAGCCCCATTTTTTTTTTTTTTTGGTTTTTCGAGACAGGGTTTCTCTATAGCTTTGGAGCCTGTCCTGGAGCTAGTTCTTGTAGACCAGGCTGGCCTTGAACTCACAGAGATCTGCCTGCCTCTGCCTCCCAAGTGCTGGGATTAAAGGCGTGCGCCACCACCGCCTGGCCCCAAGCTGCTTTTGATCATGGTCTTTATCAAAATAATAGAAACCAGTGTTAACTGTCGTTCTCCAGTTGGTTGGGTGTAGAAATGGAGAGACGTTTTGTTGTTAATCTATCTTTGTATTGACATTAGATACAGTAAAAAGGTGCAAAAACTACAAAGCAAGAAGTCAGCTTTTCAGTGTGAGCAATCTAGAAAGGCTGAAGAGAAGAGAAGCTGGTAAGCTCGGTCTTGATGGAGGACGGTGTTCACTTGAGAGAGACCTGAATAGATTTTTTTATTAGCAGGTTGGACAAGTGAAGGAGAGAAAGAAGAGGGGGAAAAAGCTCATGTTGAACACTGTCTTTTTTTAAGACAAGGTATGTGTATATATAGTCCTGACTGTCCTGAGACTCACTATGTAGACTGCTTGCCTTTGTCTGGCCTCGAACTCACAGAGATCCACCTGCCTCTGCCTCCTGAGTGCTGGGATCAAAGGTGTGCACCGCCATGCCCGGTTTGAACGCCATGTCTTATGTAACAAATATCTAGGAATAGTCTATGGGCAAGGAAACAGAAGCGTGAAGACATGAAATGAAGATCATATAGATTTCCAGAGCCAAGTTTGAGCTCTGTGACTATAACTCTGTTGTCAGCTAGACAGACATTAGGATGACCTTGGAATTGGGATGAGTACCTTTATTCCATTGAAGTAAAACGATCCCCCCACTATGGGTGGCACTATCCCCTAGGCAAGGAATCTTCCACTATATAGATTGAGAAGTCAGTTGATCACTAGCCCAGATGGGCACCTGTCATTGTGACTTCCCCTCTATTATGCACTACACCCTGAACTGGGTGCCAGATAAACCCTTCCTCTTTTAGCTCATCTTTTTTTTTTTTTTTGACGTATGTATGTATGTATGTATGTATGTATGTATTTAGTCTACAGTATTCTGTCTGCATTTATACCTGTAGGCCAGAAGAGAGTACCAGGTCTCACTATAGAGTGTTGTGAGCCAGCATATGGTTGCTGGGAATTGAACTCAGGACCTCTGGAAGAACAACTATTGCTCTTAACCGCTGAGCCATCTCTCCAGCCCCTTTAGCTCGCCTTTGTCAGAGAGTTTTGTCAAAGCAAAAGAAAAGTTACTGTGATGATGACTTTTCTCTCTCACTTGTCCTCTCTCTTGACCACAAAGAGTTAATTACTTTGTATCAGAGTGCATTGATCCATTTTCTGTCACTATTAGCCAAATTTCTGAAGCTAGGTGTTTTATAAAGAAAAGAGATTTATTCAGCTCTCAGTTTTGGGAGGATAATAGATGAGAAATCCCTATTGGTTCAATCTCGGGTGAGGACTCCCCTGGCTGGGTCACATTGCGGTG